AGCAGTGTGGACCACAGAGGAGATGACATCCTCTGTTGATCGGTTCTCACGGTATGCAAACTGATGAGGGTCCTCGTTGATATTGATGGCTGTTTTGATGTGCATCATGACCCGTTTTTCTAAGTATTTAGCGACTATTGGGGTGAGGGCCACTGGCCGATTGTCATTCAGACCAGTCACTGTAGAGCTCTTTGGGACTGGGATGATGGTGGCAGTCTTCAGGCAGGTGGGAACTGTCACCAGGGTATGCGAGGAGTTAAAGCCAGTACCTCACAGAGCTGATCATCACATTCTTTCAACATTTTCCCAGGGATGTTGTCTGGGCCGGTTGCCTTGTGAGGATTAATCCTCCTGAAAGTACTCCTTACTTCTGCTGAGGTCACGCTGAGAAGCTCTTCATCTGGTGGTGAGGTGAGTCTGGTTCTGGGTGTTCTGTTCGTGCCTTTGAAGCATGCGTAGAACTTGTTGAGGGCATCAGGCAGTGATGGGTCTTTGGGGCATTGTTCGCTCCTGCCTTTATAATCTATTATACGCTTAATGTCATCCACATGCTCCGTGGGTCTTGTGAGGTTAATTGACCCTTGATCTGCTGTGCATATGTGGCCTTGGCCTTATTAATACCAGCAACCATCTCTTTCCATGTCCTTCTCAGCTCCTGTGAGTTTCCAGACCTGAAGGCAGTGTTCCTGGCTTCCAGCAGGGTGCGCACCTCTGCATTCAGCCAAGGTTTTCTGTTCGAGGAACTTTTAACATATCTTATGGTAGAGACGTATGTACTCCAGAACTGAGGATGCGTATTGGTCCAGATTAAGCGCTTCTCTGTTTTCAGCAGCTTCTCTGAAAACTTGCCAGTTTGTTCAAAACAATCTCTCAGTATGGGGCCACTGTCCTGGATCCAAGATTTAACTTTCATTTGTACTGGTCTGGAGTGTCTCAGCGGAGGCAGGTAAGCAGGAGCTGGGAATATTGAGATATGGTCTAACAGTCCGAGGTGGGGGCAGGGTTCAGCTTTGTATGCATTTTTTACATTTGTGTAAAAATGGTCCAGCATGTTTTTTCCACGTGTTGGTATGGCCACATGGGGGTAAAATCTTGGGAGGCAGTCTGGACAGTTTGGACAGGTCTAAGTAAAGTGCAACACAGTAATTCTTAGCATCCAGTGTTTCAACAACATCATTAAAAACCTTCAACAAAGCAGTTGTGCTGTGTTGTTTCCTGAAGCCAGATTGGAGGGAAGATAAAATATTAAGTCCAAATACTTCTTGACTTAAGTATTCACCAGCTTTTCTAAAACCTTAGCTAATATATATAGTTTGGAAATTGGCCGATAGTTGTTCATTATAGTGGAGTCCCCTCCCTTCAATAATGGTAGAACATAAACTGTTTTCCAAGCATCTGGAACAATATTATGTTGTATGGACAGATTATACTTGTATGACACCGCTTCTGCCATAATTTGTGCAGCTAGACAAAATAAATAAGAAGGGAGGTCATCAGGGCCTGCTGATTTTCTAGAATCCAGACTTTTTAGCAGTTTAGCAACCTCACTGACAAAGAATGGTGAAAATGAGAAGGTGAGAGTTACTGAGCTTTGACTTGTAAGAGAAGTTGGAGAAGTAGGATTAAAACTATCAAACAAGAATTTGGAGGCAACACAATGTCTGTTGAAACAATTTAGCATATCATGCTTATTTGACACAGGAACACAGAGTCAACAAATAATTGTGGTGGCAGATCAGATGAGTGAGTGCTGCCAGAAAAAAAAATTGATGGTTTTCCAGAAACTCTTGGGGTCATTCAGATTCAAATGTCAGTACACTTGCAGGCAAAGCTGAAGATTGTCCATAAAATGAAAACTTTATCTATTTCAATCCAGCCTTTGTTCAACCATGTGTTCCACTTAAAGTTTTTTCATCCAGAAAATTAGTTTATCTTCATGAGGAGATTAAAACAAGCTGCACTGAGCTGGGCATTACTGCAGGTCTCCTCCTGAACAGCAGGTGATGATACAGAGAAAATGCTATAAAACCATCCCAATATACCTTTAAACAGTTCTAAAGTGATACAGTCTGGATCTATCCATGCCATGAAATACTCTCAGTCTATATAACTTCCTGTTTCATCTGCTCTGTTGTTATTCTGACACCCAACATTTCTGAAGGTTTCACTGCCACAACGTAAAATACCAATAAAACTAATTTATAAATGTTTTGTATATAGAAGTTCAATTTTTCAATTCAATTCAGTTTATTTATATAGCGCCAAATCACAACAAAGTTGTCTCAGGGCACTTTACAGGAACATTCACATACATAAAAGTCCATTAGTAAAGTTCAATAAAAGAAGTCGATAAAAAGCAGGTGTAACAGAAGAGCTGAATGTAAAGTTTAAACATCAGAAATAGCTTAGAATGGGATACAGTGCCTGATTTCATGCCTGAGCACTAGAAACTGTAAAAAGGTCAACAGCAGAAATAAACTTTGATGCATTCCTTATAGACATATTTTACTTCACATTTTTAACTCATCTGCTTCACCTTTAAAGCAAATTTCTATAGAGAAAAATTTGTTGGAAGACAATCTAAAAATTAAATTAATCAGATTTTATTGGTGTATAGATAAAAAAGAGATTTTAGGGAATTGTGAGTTGTCTCTGTGGCACATGACATAGGAGCAGTTTGTGGAGGTGGGCCTAAGTAACCTCACACGTCATCTTAAGCTCTTTTCCCACCAGTGAACGGATTTCTGTTGGTTTGTGGTGCTGGGATGTTGTAACATCCTACATCTACAGCTCACATGGCACCCAACCCAGACTTCTTCCCTTCCAATTGTGGGCTATTTCAAGGTGGTTTCCAGTTCCCTCTTTTCGCTTAGACTAGTTGAATTTCTGTGTTCCTTGAGGTACACTGTAGGGGGTGTTCTGTGAGTATGGGATTGGGGGCCCGTTGCTATGAACTGTTTGGCCCCTATACAAGTGGTGTGACTTAAGTTTACAATGCTGGCAGTAAGTCGGACCCCTTCAGGGTTGGAGTTGGACTCCATCAGGGCTGCCCATTGTCACCAATTCTGTTCATAACTTTTGTGAACTGAATTTCTTGGTGCAACCAGAGGGTGGAGGGAGTCCAGTTTGGTGGCCTCAGGATTCTTTGCTGTTTGCGGATGGTATGGTCTTGTTGGCATCATTGTGCTGTGATCGCCAGCTCTCACTGGAGCGGTTCACAGCTGAGTGTGAAGTGGCTGGGATGAGAATCAGCACTGTCATATCCAAGAACCTGGTTCTCAGTTGAAAAAGGGTGGATTGCTCTCTTCGGGTCAAGGTGAAGTTCTGCCTCAAGTTGAGGAGTTCAAGTATCCCGGGGTTTTATTCACGAGTGAGGGAAGAATGGAGCATGAGATTAACAGATGGATTGATGCAGCGTCTGCAGTATGGTGGACTCTGTGTAGAGTTGCACTCGGGTCCAAATAATTCGAACCGACCAGGACCCAGACCCAGGCTCGGCTGCTCGTGTCCGCTGAGTGCAGCGGCTGAATGAATTTCCATGTAAGCAGTAGTCCATCTGAAGCTGAACTGAACTTTGTACCTCTTTCAACCAGCTGGTCAGCGAATGGTCAAATGGCCACATGCGGCAGGTGCAGTATGGCAAGTCATGTTTGCATATATTGGATTGTCAGCCACACGTGTTTCTGATGCAATAAAAAGCCCGACACCGACCCGGCCCACACATTAAGCACATTATTATGACCCGGCCTGGTCTGAATCCGGGTCGGGCGGGGCCGGGCTCCAGGTTCGGCTTAGAAATGACACTTCTAACTCTGTGTCAGTCCATTGTGGTAAAGAGGAAGCTGAGTTGTAAGGCCCAGTCAGTCTACATTCCTACCCTCACCTATGGTCACAAACTCTGGGTAGTGGCCAAAAAAATGAGATTACAGATACAGGCAGTTGAAATGTTTCTTCTGAAGTGTAGTTGGACTCTCCGTTAGAGATACGGTGAGAAGTTCAGTCATTCCAGAGAGACTCAGAGTAAAACCGCTGCTCCTCCACATAGTGAGGAGCCAATTTAGGTGATTCAGGGATCTGGTAAGGATGCTTCAGGCATGTTCAACTGGGGAGAGACTCCGGGGAAGACCTCGGACATGCTGGAGAGTCAACAGCTCTTGGTTGGCCTGGGAACATCTTAGAGTTCTCCCAGAACAGCTGGAAGAGGTGGCTGTGGAAAGAGATGTCTGGACCTCCCTGCTCAAGCTGCTGCCCCTGCGACCTGACTTCAGAACAAGCAGATGATGGATGGATGGATGGATGGATGGATGGATGGATGGATGGATGGATGGATGGATGGATGGATGGATGGATGGATGGATGGATGGATGGACGGACGGACGGACGGACAGACGGACGGATGGACGGACGGACGGATGGATGGATGGATGGACGGACGGACGGACGGACGGACGGACGGACGGACGGACGGGCGGACAGACAGACAGACAGATGGAGCGAGCGAGCCAAAGCAACCAGGTCCAGCTTTGGGGAGTTCTACAGGTTGTCTGATTATACCTGCTGGTTGTTGCTCTAAATGAATCTTAGGGTGTATTCACACCAGCCCTGTTTAGTCCGCTTTAATCGAACTCTAGCCCGTTGGCCTAGGAAGTCCGGTTCATATGGGGAGGTGTAAATGCGCCATCGAACTCTGTCACGGAACAAAAAGGCTAAAACCTAGGTCTCGGTCCGGTAGAAGAAAACTCCAGCGCGGTTTGAGTACAGTGTGAATGCAATCAGTCCTGGCCCCGCTCCACAAGCAAGAAGTGGAGTACAGCGCAGGGCAAACAAACATGCATTTCTCTTACCCAGATCTTTGATTTCTGACCCAGATCTTTAACCTCTAGCCCAGATCTTTGACCACTAACCCAGATCTTTGACCGCTGACCCAGATCTTTGACCACTGACCCAGATCTTTGACCAATAACCCAGATCTCTGACCTCTAATCTTTGTGCACCAACAGGAGTCAGGCCTGGCCGCCTGGATTGGAGGCCACCTCCAGCCTTTGGCTGAAGTTCCTCCTGCTGCAGCTGTGATACTGATCACGGCGTTCCTCGCCTGTTTCACTGAGTTTGCTAGCAACACTGCCACAATCATCATATTTCTCCCTGTCATTGCTGAACTGGTAAGAATGGTTTTAAATACAAATAAATGTTGTGTGTGGATGAAATGACTCAGTCATTACAATCAGCGTACATGTCTGTTGCACATCTGTTGTAACAGATGGATTTATCAATTAAAACGGATGGAAAGACTTGCAACAATAACAAGTTTTCAGATCAGTGTTGTCATTCTAACATGACCGGGAAACAACAGAATGCTTCTGCTCCAAGATAAAGCAGAGCAGTGAATTATGAACCTTGTTCTCTGTAGATTAATAATAGATTTTCTCCTATTGGAAGTCTGTTAGACATTAACTGTTGCTGCTGGAAATCATTACTTTCAGCTCTTACATTTTCTGTTCACAAGAAATAACACACGTTGAACACTTTCTGCTTGAAGAAAACGTCCTTATCTTGAAAAGCCAAGCTAAGATAAAGCTATGCAGAAGCTTCTAGTTTTATTTTCCCAGGTTATTAATTTCACCTAGACTGAACAGATGCCCTGTTTATCGTCTGCTACTGTTGTGTTGATTTCATTTGTAACTGTAGGTTTGTTCATAATAAACAGTTCATTTTAATTGTTTACTATGCTATTTTTATGCTTGTTATTTATTAGCAAAAAACATGAACACATGCATGCTCAACCTTGTCCAGTACAGAAGAGGCTGTTAACCCCACAGTGATGGCTGTTTGGATAATGAGATGTATAGCTGTGTGTCATCAGCATAACTATGGAAACTTATCCCATGGCTCCTGAGGACTCCACCAAGCGGCAACATGTACAAATTAAAAGCAGAAAGCCTAAAATAGAGCTTTGCGGGACGCCATAGTTGGCTTCATGGATCTGCGAGGAGCATGTATCCATACTTACCATGAAGGTTCTATCTGTGAGATAGGAGCTGAACCACAGAAGAACAGTACGAAAAAGACCGACCAGGCATTGTAATCTATTTAAAAGAATTTGATGATCTACTCTATCAAAGGCTGCACTCAGATCCAATAGAACAAGAACTGAGAGCTTGTGTGAATCCAGATTACACCTTAAATCATTCACAATTTTTAATAGGGCTGTCTCTGCACTGTGGTTCGTCCTAAAACCAGATAGATACTTTTGTAAAATACCAGCATAATTTAAAAAAACATTTAATTGAATAAAAACAAGCTTTTCTAAGATTTTACTTAAGAATAGTAAGTTGAATACAGGTCTATAATTATTAAAAACACTAGGATCTAGATTACTCTTCTTCAGAAGGGGCTTCACCACAGCCATTTTAAAGGCAACGGGGAAGACACCCATCTGAAGAGAGCAGTTTAGAATGTTTAAAATTTCATTCTCAAAGAAACTATAAAATTAATAAAAAAGTGATGATGGAATTGGGTCTTAGAGGCAGATGGTTGGTTTGACTTGTTAGAAAAGAATAAGAATCCACAAGCACGAAGTAGTGGTGGTTGTTCCACTTGAATATGTCTGTGGCAGTGATGGACCAAGGGATATCTGAAATGTGGTGTAGTTTCAGTGGTTGTTTTTGCTGGTGTGGTTTAAAACAGTTGCAAATACTGTATGATTTTACTTTGTCCTCTATGTCAGTATTTATTGTCAACCAGAACACACTATCACTTGCTCTCCTTTTTTGTAGACTCCATGCCTGGATGTCCTTTGTATAGTTTCTGTAAGTAGATCTCATGCAGTGAAACTGGGACAACAGCTCTATTGCCTTTCATAATAACATTATCAACAATCAGCTCTTCGTGAAAACTGAAAAATGGTTTGATTGCGTTGGGTACACTACTAGCTTGCTTTGACCACCCATGCTGGATGTAACGAGCAAGTGTCTGCAGAGTAGCATCTTTTTAGGTGTGTTCTACAAGCTCTTGTAAGCATCTTGGTGAAATGAGCTGAAGTGGCATTACTTCAAAGTCATGTTGCTCCTCTTTGAGAGGTTGAGTGTCCAGTTTTGGTGTATGAGAAAAAGTGTCTGCAAAGTACAGGTGTTTTGCCTTTCTTTTAGATGAGTGTCAGGTTAAATTTTTGTAGTCTTAGCATCATTCACTGAATTGTGACTAATGGCTAGTGGTCCATTTCAGCCACCACTGGTTTGACATAAATGTAATCATAGAACTTGGAACTTGCAAAAATTACCGCCAATAACGCTTTTTCAAATTGAGCATACCTTCTCTCCATTTGAGTTAGGGTGTGTGATGCGTATGCTACATGTTTGTTTTCTTGTAGGCAGGCAGCTCCTAGACCATGCTGGGAAGCATCGCAGGCGAGAGTCACTGTCTTTTGCATATCATAGTACTGCAGTACAGGTGGGTTGGGGATACATGCTTTGAGTTTGTTGAAAGCATCGTGCTGGTTTTGAGTCCAATTCCACACCACAGCCACAGTGTGACATCACGAGCTCTGCAGTATGGCCACACTGACGGGAGCTTTGCTTTGACTAAAATTTTTGTTCCTGTTGTTCTTGTTTGAACCCTTTTCACGCCTACACTGCACACCCATTACGGGTATGATCACAACACACTTTCAGTTTATTTCAATTCAGTTTATTTATATAGTGCCATATCACAACAAAGTTGTCTCGGGGCATTTTACAGGAATATTCACAAACATAGAAAAGCAAATAAGTAAAGTTCTCTATCTAAAGAAGGAAGCACTTTTGGAGTTTGTGTGTTGCTGCCTTGCCATCCTACCATCCTGCCATTGTGGTTTAGTTCCCGGCCACCCTCCATCACTTGGGCTCAGGCTTCGGCCTGTAACAGCAGCCATCTCCATGATCCTCCACCTACCTCCACGTACTGAACTCTACGGACCTGTTTGGCTTGGTGGGAAAAATCTTGGATGTTCTCTGTCTGCTGGACCCAGTTCTGGAGGATGGTCTGTGAAGGCAGCTGCTGCAGTTGTTATGACTATCAAGCTGCTAACGAGACCTGCTAATGCTGCTAACAAGATCCTCCATCTGCCTGCACAGACCAAACTCTACTGACCCGTTCAGTTCCGTGGGGAAACCTTGGATGTTCTCTGTCTGCTGAACCTGGTTCTGGAGGGCAGTCTGTGAGGGCAGCTGCTCCGGTTGTTATTATCATCAAGCAGCTAATGGGACCTGCTAAAAAGGCCTGCTACACTGCTAACCGAACCACACTGTAGATGTTAACTTTTTCACTTTTGGCACCTTGGTTTTGTATATTTTGCTGCATGCTTTGGTATTTCTTGTTGTTTTTTTGGCAAGTCAAGATGGTTCTTCTCGTCCTCAGCATTTCATTACATTGTTGACCTTGTGTTGATTTGCATATGACAAATAAACTAAATCTGAACATCCTAGGGAGGTAGCTGATGTAATGGTGCTAACAGTTCACTAAAGTTTGGGATGAACTTTCCCAAAAAATTGATTTTTCCCAAAAAACATTGGAAGGAAGTCTTGTCCTCTGGTGATGGTATGTCACTGATTGCAGTGATTTTAGTTTGGTCTTCTTTAAGACCTTCATCAGTAAAGATGTGTCCCACATAGCTCATCTCTTTGAGCCTAAACGTGCACTTTTTTGGATTTAGTCTGAGTTTTATTTGTCTGGCATGCACCAGCACTTTTTTCAGATTTTTGTCATGCTCTTCAATTCCTTTTCCTCCCACCAGGATATCATCCACAATCACCGCACATGGATATCCTGCCCCATGGCTCTTTGGATGACCTTAGATGTAGCATTGATGCCAAAGGGCATTCTCAGGAACTTGAATCTGCCGAAAGGGGTTACAAAGGTAGTAAGAAAAGATGAAGCATGATCCAATTTGATTTGCCAGAAGGAGTTCTTTACGTCCACAACAGAGAAAACGGTTGCTCCTGATACCTGGGCTGCTACTTCATCTACTGTGCGCATAGGATGGTGTGGTCACATTAATCCATCCAGCCATCTATCCATCCATCCATCCATCCAGCCATCCATCCATCCATCCATCCATCCATCCATCCATCCATCCATCCATCCATCAAGCCATCCATCCATCCATCCATTATCTTTACCCGCTTCTTCCACTTTTGGGTCACAGGGGTCGCCGGTGCCAGTGTCCAGCAATTACTGTGCGAGGGTCAGTGTACACCCTGGACAGGTCGCAAGTCCATCACAGGGTCACATAGAGACAAATGAGACAAACAACCATTGACTCTCTCACTCACACCTAGGGACAATTTTAGAGTTACCAATCAGCCTAGCATGCATGTTTTTGGTCTGTGGGAGAAAGCCGGAGTACCTGGAGAAAACCCACGCATGCATGGAGAGAACATGCAAACTCCACCCAGAAAGGCCCCGGGACCGGGGTTTGAACCGGCAACCTTCTCGCTGAGCGGTAGCAGCTCTACCAGTTGTGCCACCGTGCTGCCGGGGTCACATCAATGCCTTTTTTAAATCTCTTGGGTCTATACAGATATGAATATGATGTGTCTTTTTTTGTATGTGGCAACCATGTTGGACACCCATTTTGTAGGCTCCTCCACTCGTTCAATTACTCCTAGGTCCTGCATTCTCTGGAGTTCTCTTTCAACTTTTTTTTCTGCAAGGGTACAGGAATGTGCCTTGCAGGGTTGACCACTGGTAACACGCTAGGATCGAGTTTCATTGAGAAGGTCACAGGTAAGTTGCCAAGTTCATTCTTGAAGAGGTTTGCATATTCACGGAACACTTTCTATGCTGTTTCATCCTGATCGGTGTCAATATGGAAAACTTCTTTGCTGAAGCTAACCAGTTTCATTCCTACACTGTCCTTTAATCCCAGAATGGATTGCACTTCCTGTTTTACAACAATGGAGGTCATGCAAGCGCCCAGCTAGCTTGCATTTGAGAATAACTGTGCCTATGAAATACATTTCCTCGTGGGCGGATTAATCTTACCGTTCACGTAAATTATTTGATAATGTTCTTATAGAAACAATTCCTAAATGTTGCTCATACTGTGTTAATGCTACATGTTTGTCTCTTGACCCTGCAACTGGGTATCACTACAGTAGACCTAGCCCAATACTGGAGTTTTAATTATGTATTTTAAGCTACTAATAAATCACAATGAACGATGATCATATTGCTTTATGCTACGCCATTGGTAAGAAGGAGTGATTATTATTATTGTTTCATATTGGCTAGTGAGTTTTTTCCTAAAAGTTAATTTAGGCTACACTGTGTCTTTTAGACTGTGGCTAGGAGGCGTGAGAGAAGTGGAGCATACTCTATTCACACAAGGAGAACTGTTGGTCAGGCTACTTGTTGTTGTGCCATTAACTCTAAATAGTTACTGAATCAAGTGTTTACTTATGTAGGTAAAACTAGATGTTAAACAACAAGTTAAAATACACCAGAATGCAGGAAATGGCATCTACTTTATTCAAAATTTTCTGGGGCAGGACCCCAGACACCCCCCCCCCCCTCCACCACCACCACCACTAGTACGTCCTCCCCTCCACATTAAAAATGCTTCTGATGCCAATGGTCACCACATTGTTCAAGCCAAGAGCCATTGTCAGCACTGGGGGCTAAAGCACCCCTAAAGGAATTGCCCCTGATGTAAGGTTATAATTGAATTATTTAAATCATAATAGGTCATGATCTAAAGTGGGCATGAAACTCCAGGGCTGAAAATGAGTCCCATTCCAGCCCTGCATAACACTGTTGTCTTCAGTAACAAAGTGTCTAAAATTATTTTATTGTCTGACTTTAACCCTGACTTCATGTGTTTTAGGTCAGTGTTACATTCAATATCCAATAAATTAAAGTATTCTAAGTCATTTTTTCTTTAGACATATACAGGGTATATGCTGTTATTTTCTGCTGTTGTTGCTGTTGTTGTTGGATCTACAAACATATTTAAAGTTATAAAAAAGTTAAGTCAGGTCCTCTGGACATTCAAAAAACAAACAAAAAAAATTGAAGAAATGTTTCATCTTTCATCCGAAAGACTTCTTCAGTCTGAGGAGCTGTGTTCAGCTCAGTCTTATAAATAGCACCTTCTCAGAGTGGATCAATAGTGATCCATCATAGTGATCCACTATGAGAAGGTGTTATTTATAAGATTGAGTTGAACACAGCTCCATAGACAGAAGAAGTCTTTCGGATGAAAGATTAAACATTTCTACAATTTTTGTTTTTGTTTTTTGAACGTCCAGAGGACCTGACGTAACTTTTTTATATTTTTCTACCCGGATTATTGAGCATGCATCAGGATATATTTAAAGATACATAAAATAACTGAACCAGAAGTGTGGTATCTGAAGTATATACTATAAAAAATATGATTTTTTACCCACTTTATTAAAGTTTGTATGTTAATAGATTTTATGCCACAGATAAAATATTCTAAATTTGGCTGTAACCAGGATTTATTATCAGATTGTTGTTTAGTCTGGAAGCTGTTGTGAGGAGCAGGAAAATACAACAGATTCTGTCTTTTCAAGACTCTCCTGCCAACACGTCCAGTTAGTTGGTGTTGATTGTTTCACAAGTTTGCCCTTCTATAAAATTACTCAATGTTTTTTTTTCTTCTTTTGTCTGCTCCCTTCATCCGGGGTGGCCACAGTGAACTAAGTCACACGAAGACTTAGCAATTATTTTTACGCCGGATGTCCTTCCTGACACAACCACAGATCACGAGCTACCAAAGTCCTCTGTGTGGAGCAGAGAGCTGCTAGTGTGCCCGGGAGAGCAGATGGTGGGGGTTAAGGGTCCAGAGTGGGGAAAATGTGGGTGGAGGCAGGTGTGGGTGCTTCACGTGTTCAACAAATACAACATGCACCTCATCTTAGAATCTCTTTACTCAGCACATATGACAGTTTTGGTCAAAATTCTATAATTTTAAAGTCACAGTACTTTTTCATTCAACCTTTATTTATACAGGTTAGTCCCATTGAGTCAGGACTCACGAAGACTCATTTACAAGAGAGACCTGTACTATAGTTAATCATTTCTTATCTGGCAACCCAACAGACATGGAAACTACAGCGTTTTTCATGTAAACCCTCTCATTTTTTGTTTATTACCTCCAATAAACATTGAAAAAGCACTAACATTTCCAGAAGTTGTTCTCGTGTAAACTGGGCCTTAAAGTAGGTAGATCTTTGACTTGGTCATTTTAAAAGGAGCTCACATGCTGAAAATGTCTGAGCACCCTTGGTTTTAAATGTTAGCGTGTTGTAAGTCAGCGTTGATAAGAAGGAATGAATGCTGCTTTTTAATTTATATCTAAGATCTGCCATGCGGTGTAAAGACATAAATACTTTTAATTCCTTCTTTTATAGAAGATCTGCTGAGTTGTTTCCTTTTCACATAGATGTGAAAACTTTGAATGTGTGTCGTTATCTCTGCAGGCTAGTCGTGTGTTGGTGAACCCTCTGTACTTCATGATCCCTGCCACGGTTGGATGCTCATACGCCTTCATGCTCCCAGTGTCCACACCACCCAACTCCATTGCCTTTGCATCAGGACACCTCCTGGTGAAGGACATGGTAACACCCTCACCTCGACTTTCTGCACGTTAACTACAGATTATATTCCGCTGTCCTCACACCTCGGTCTCTTGTTCTCAGGTGAAGACTGGTTTCGTCATGAACATCCTGGGCATCCTCTCTGTCTCTCTGGCTATGAATACTTGGGGTGTTGCCATGTTCAACCTGAACTCTTACCCAGAATGGGCTCACCCCGCCAACAAGACTGCACTTATTCCCAACGTTTTATCAGTCAACGCCACGCTCTGATAACCTCTTTTTACCTGAAGATTGAATAACGATTGAACCTGAACAGGGACTAAAGTGTGTTGTGTTGACATGCTCTGAGACTCGGAGCATCAGCTGTTACCTGTGGTGCCTTTAAGAAGCTCAGCACTGATTTTACTGAGTACAGAACTTAATGCTCCGCTTTGGACACTCCAATTATTCATAATTATAAGATTTAAGCTGATGAGGTTTAAGAAGATGATGTAAGTTTTTTAAATTATTATTATTAAACCCTTGTCTTGAAACAAAGGAGACCAGGGAAACATCTGAGGTCGGTCTGCAACATGTTTGAGTTCTGCAAAGTGTTTCGTGTTTGGTGTATATAAAGAATGTGCTGTCTGTGATGTTTCCACAAGGCTGACCTCTGCTGGAAGAATGAGAAAGACCTAAGATGAATTATTTTGCACACATTTCTATTTAAAGATAAAACTCAAATAATAGTTTCAATCCTTTCTGCACTATAATGTGAATCTTGATTAAATAACATGTATATTTTGTTATATACATATCTATATTTGTGCAATTGATTTACAAATAAAATAAACTTGTAATGATTTAGTAACTTGTTTTTTTATGGAGGGGTTTTGTTCAAACAACATGCACTAAATTTGTAAGGAGTTAGAATGAGTCCTGAGCTTTGGACCAGCTGCATGTAGTGCTGCAGACATCTCAGTCCTCTGTACAGTCTGCACCTTGGACACGCAGCTATAAAATCCCTCCAGAGGCTGTTTGCTGTTTTCAGGTTTGGTTGTGATTTGTGCAAACCTAAAACACAAAATGGTTTGTTGCAAATCTATTAAATATTCAACAAAATGCACAGAATATGTGTAGCGCGTACCACATAGCTAAAGAATTAACCAATAGGTTAGATTGAAATGTAGGACATTGGTTGGGGCCCTGGGAACGTTATTTGAAAGATAGCTGTACTAACAGCTTACAGGAGATACAACTTACTGTTTGTATTTAATTTAATGGTGGTGCCTCCACTTAGCAGGAAATTATGACTTTACATTTTTTTTACCCACTAAGAATTTACTTCTAATAACTGTAAATACATTCCCTTGGAATACAAAAAACACTTAAAGTAACTTTCAAATAAGACATTGATTCCTGATTTCAATTGAAAATACTTTTTAATGAGGGAAAAAATATATAAATAAGATAAAAACAAAAACAACTTTTTACAGAACTTTCAAACCCAAAATAACGCGTTGCAGGCCTGAATCGATGCTTGGGTGCATGGGAGCTAAAAACAAACAGTTTGTTCGCTCACTGAGCAAAATAAAATAAAAAGCACGTGTACTGGTTTAGTTTTGTACTCACAAATCTTTCAGAGTTTGAGATTGGATCAGGAAAAGTTAGATGTGGAGATCCCATATGGCACTGAGTAAAGTAGGCAGGTGATGTCACACGAACACAGAGATACTTCCTGGCAACAGCCTCACAGATGAGAATCCAACGGCTGAATGGTGAACTTCTAACTTGTCCACCAGGTCAAAAGATAGCTCCTGATCCAGTGACAGCTCTCAGTCCATATATACAGTATATTCCTTAATAAAACACACTGGCTTCTCATATGGAGCCATTAAGAGCTTAAACGGTCACTAATGTTAACATTTACATTTCAATATACAAAAACCTGAACTGTTATATCATTTAACTAGCTGCTCGTACTAGCATGCTAAAATGCTAATTACACTTAGCATGGTTTTCAACTACACCAGATATGTCCAAAGTCCAGCCCAGGAGCCATATGCGGTCCGTGTTCAAATTTCCATTGACTCGCAGCCTATGTCATAAAATCAATAATATGCGGCACGCCAGTGCGTTGATTGCTGTAAAGTTTTAAATACACACATACATATATTTAAGAAGATGGCAGTGTGACCTTTTATAGCCAATTTCTAAAAGGGCAAATATAAACCAAGAAAAGTCGACAGTGGGGTGCTGCAACCAATAAAAATCAAAAGAAGAAGAAGAAGTAGAGGGCCGCCGCTTCCAGGACTAGTGGGAATCTGAATGGTTTTTCACTGAAATACAAACGACTGCATCTGCTTACACTGCCTGGCCAAAAAAAAGTTGCCACCAAAAAATAGGTCACACACTAGAATTTCGTTGGACCGCATTTAGCTTTGATTACAGCATGCATTCACTGTGGCATTGTTTCGATGAGCTTCTGCATTGTCACAAGCTCTATTTCCATCCAGTGTTGCATAAATTTTTCACCTCTTGCACTGACGATGGCAGATTCTGACCACTGCGCAAAGCCTTCTCCAACACATCCCAAAGATTCTCAATGGGGTTAAGGTCTGGACTCTGTGGTGGCCAATCCATGTGTGAAAATGATGTTCCATGCTCCTAGAACCACTCTTTCACAATTTGAGCCCGATGAATCCTGGCATTGTCATCTTGAAATTTGCCCGTGCCATCAGGGAAGAAAAAAATCCATTGATGGAATAACCTGGTCATTCGGTATATTCAGGTAGTCAGCTGACCTCATTCTTTGAGCACATACTGTTGCTGAACCTAGACCTGATCAACTGCATCAACCCCAGATCATAGCACTTCCCCCACAGGCTTGTACAGTAGGCACTAGGCATGATGGGTGCATCACTTCACCCGCCTCTCTTCTTACGCTGATGCGCCCCTCACTCTGGAACAGGGTAAATCTGGACTCATCAGACCACATGACCTTCTTCCATTGCTCCAGAGACTAATCTTTATGCTCCCTAGCAAATTGAAGCCTTTTTTTCAGTTAGCCTCACTGATAAGTGGTTTTCTTAAGGCTGCACAGTTGTTCACTCTCAATTCCTTGAGTTCCCTTCACATTGTGCATGTGGAAATGCTCTTACTTTCACTATTAAACATAGCCCTGAGTGCTACTGCTGTTTTTCTTTGATTTGATTTCACCAAACGTTTAAGTGATCGCCTATACGATCATTCAGGATTTTTTTCTGGACACATTTCTTCCTCGAAGACGATGGGTCCCCACTATCCTTCTAGTTTTTAAAAATGCATTGGACAGTTCTTACCCCAATTTTAGTAGTTTCTGCAATCTCCTTAGATGCTTTCTCTGCTCGATGCATGCCAATGATTTGACCCTTCTCAAACAGACTAACATCTTTTCCACAACCACGCAATGTCTTTCAACATGGTTGTTTAAGAAATGAGAAGCAACTCATTGCACCAGTTGGAGTTAATAACTTGTTGCCAGTTGAAAGATAATCGCCCATGCAGTAATTTTCCAATAGGATGTTCATACTGTGAGAGTACCATCTGTTGCAGTTTTCCTGTCCAAGATGGCCACCAATCAGCACCACCTGACAGTCAACTCCCTGATGAGGTTCCACCCTACTTAAGGCTGCAGCTGGATGTTACTTGTCACCGGAGCATTAGCCACTAATGGTACGCTTTGTCTCTGGCCTGTGCTTGTCTCTCGTGCAAAATACTACAACCTTCTCTTATGGTTATAGCTTACCTGCCTCCTTGGATCCTGTCGTGCCTTGGTCCTCCTTCAGTTCCACTCCTCGGTTCCTGTCATGCCTTGGCTCCCCTTCAGTCCCTCTCCTGGTTCCTCGTGCCTTGCCTTCCAGCCACACGCCTGTTCGCCTTCACTCCTGGAGCCCTCTTTGGGTTCCCCTCGACCATCCTCCAAACTGTAAGACAAAACCATTGGATCAATATCAACCCCTTCTATTCTCCAGCCAGAACCACCTGACGCTCCCCTTCCTCCTCAGGGCTCCAGCTGTTCGAGGGCTTTTCGCTGTACATAAATAAACACTGACAATTTGTATCTCTGAATCTTGCCTCGTTTTCATGGTCTTCTATCACTCTGGGTTCCCCGTGTCATAACAGAAATGCTCCGGCCAAATAAGACCCAGAACGAGACCATGGATGAGCAGGCTTCCTCTTCCCAGTTGGAGCGCATTAGCTAATTGGAGGAGATGCTCCAATAAGTCCTCACTCAACAGTTAACCTCCCAGAAGAACATGCAGGAGCTCTGAGGTATGGTCTTCTCTATAAATCAAAAACTCACCTCTTCTCCTCATGCAGCTTCCTCCTCTTCTCCAACATCGAGTCCTCCCAGGACGGAACCTGTCTCCAACACCCTGACCACTGCGGGGGATTCCTTCTCCATTGTAAACTAGTATTCAAGGGAGCTCCCCAACTCTACGCTACAAAGGTGAGGCTACGAGCTAACGCTAAAGCCGGTAAACTCCCCATGCCGTCTCTCTTTCTGTCGAATGTACGCTCGTTGGACAACAAGATGGATTTACTTCATCTGAGAGCGGGCGCCTCAGAAGAGATGAAGAAGTGTGCAGTGCTGTGCCTCACAGAAACATGGATTACAAGCGAAACGCCGGATGCAGTCTTCCAGCTGGATCACATACTTTTATTTCGAGCGGACCGCTGCAGCGAGCTAACGGGAAATCACGGGGAGGCGGAGTATGCATTTACGTGAGTAAAAGTTGGTGCACGAACTGTACTGTTGTAAATAGCTCATGCTCGAAGGCTTTGGAGCAAATAACAGTGAAATGTCGGCCACATTATCTACCCCGCAAGTTCACGGTGACTTTCATCACTGTCGTTTACATTCCTCCGGACGCTAATGCTAATGAAACACTACAGTAGCTACAGGGTATCATCAGCTTGCTGCAGAGCAAACACCCCGAGGCTCTTTACGTGGTAGCTGGAGACTTTAACCACATGAATCTAAAGGACTGTCTCCCAAGCTTTAATCAGCATGTGATAATTCCAACACGTGGAGACAAGATGCTGGACCGTGTTTACACGAATGTAAAAGATGCATAAAAGCCGAACCCTGCCCCCACCTAGGACTGTCAGACCAAATCTCAATCTTCCTGGCTCCTGCTTACATGCCACCGCTGAGACGCTTCAGACCGGTACAAAAGGAAGTTAAATGCTGGATCCAGGACAGTGGCCCCATACTGAGAGATTGTTTTGACCGAACAGACTGGCAGGTTTTCAAAGAA